ATAATCATGCGATTAATTCATAATGTGATACAAGATTTTTATTTGTATTTTTGTGCATTCGTTTATTAAAAAAAATATTACATATGTTTACATTTAAATGTTTATTTAAATTGTTATTTTAGGCATTTTATGTTAACAACTGGTCAAAATGAAGCAGAATATGATAGATCTTTAATACACACATACAAAGTAAGTTATTGATAATTGTTATTTGAACAATATGTCTTTTCCCTAATCAATTGATGAATCATCTCTTTCTCTTTCTTTGTTTATTTCTTACTTTAAAAAAAGATTTTATTAAGCTTGTCGTCGACCCATGAAAAGTATATAGATTTAGATGTACCTAGAACATTACAATCGCACATAATGTTTAAAACAAGATATGGACCTGGGTAATTAATTAATTAAATTTAAACGTGAAATGAGTAATAATCGTATAGTAATAAATATTTAATTCTATATTTTTTGGGGGATAAATAAAAATTAGACAAAGATCAATGTTTAACGTATTGAAAGCTTTCTCAAACTATGATCAACAAGTCGGTTTTTGTCAAGGAATGGCTAATATTGTAGCAATATTATTATTGTATTATTCCGAAGAGGTAATCAATTAATCAACATTGGTTATTTGATAAATTGGCTAGAATGATTTTTTTCTTATTTTATTTATTTACAAATGTTTCTTTATTACCATTTTATAGGATTCTTTTGTAATGTTGATAAAATTATTTTCAAAATGTAATTTACATAGTCTTTACGTGCCTGGTTTCCCTTCCTTGATGGAAGGTTTTTATATCCAAAAGAAATTAATGGAATTATATGTACCAAAATTAACAAACCGTTTTGTATGTAAATAATAATAATTTTTTTCACAATATAATATTCCTATTATCACCGTTTTAATTATTCTCTTCCTTCGAAAATATATAAGGCAAAATTAGGTATAACGAGTACATCATATGCAACTAAATGGTACATGACATTATTTTCAACGGATATTGTTGCTCATAATATATTTTTACGATTTTGGGATTTACTTATGTTGAATGGATTTGATATATTATATTATATTGCTATTGCTTTATTAATCTATAATCAATGTAAGTGTAATTAATTAATTAGTTAATTATTATATATGATCAATTGGGTGGGATTTCTTTTATTAATTTACATCTACATCCTCTCGTTTTTTATCTTCTAATTTCCGCATTTTCTCTTCACCATATTATTTGCAGCCAAATTATTAAAAGCGGGTTTTGATAGTTCAATGAAAATCCTATCATCGAGAATGATAATAGATAATGAAGAGTTACTATTTCAGACAATTAAAAAACTATATGGCCGAAGAAAAAATAAAATCGAAATATATAAAAATGAATATAAAAAAATTACAACAATTCAACGCTAATTTTTATATAACTTTTATATAAAGATTATAATATTACATATATGCACATATTAAAATAGTCTAATAAAATTTATAACATGCTCTTGAACTTGAAGTTTTTGCCTTATTGTCTGGAACTATAGATTAATAATCACTACGCATTCTCTAAATCTTCTTAACTTCTTAATCATGTATAATCTATTTTTATATTTCGTGAAACTCCAACACTAGTCAGTAATTATTAATAACAGTCGAATGATTTATCATGATGTAAAAAATTTTTATATGTGAGAAAGGATTTTATTGACATGCGGAATGTTTTATGCGAGGAAAGAAATTAAAAATCAAAAGACCCATTTATCGAAGTGCCATCTAATCGTGTTTCGAACATGACATGTGACCTGGCTCTTTCGTATTTTATTATTTGTACCACCATTTACTGTACTAATATTAAAGCCGGCTTGGAATTCTATATTTAGATTATTCGGCTAAAAAAGCAGTTTATTATGAGATCAAAGCGTGGCTTTAAAGGGATGCTCGTCTTGGAATAAAGGGTTACCTAATGTATACTAATAATAAAATAGATTTAAATGTTAAACACTATAGGCAACTTCGTCATCGGGAACAATTATTAACATAAAAAGAAGTATATATAAAAACGTGATACCAATCTATATTTACGAACGCATGCAGAAGATGTTTGTGGTGGTCGAGTAGATCCAATTATCGATTAAAAGTATTTAGAACATTATACCTCTGTGATATACTGTATATATAAAATTAAGTATCTAATACTTTGATCAATAATAAAAACAATAGTCATGATTAGACGACAAATATTAGCTGAAACCTATCAAATAAGCGCAGAAATAATTTGTAAATAAAAATCAAACCTCGAATTGACAATACTTGCGCTAATAATTATTATTGAAGCTAGCAATCGTTGTAAAAAGCGATTTCCATGAGTAAAGAAACATTTTTATTCAGAGAATTTTAGCTTGTTGGAATTCTAAGAATCATCTCCCAAAAGCGAACAACACTTGGAGTTAAATTTTAGTAATAACAAGTGACACCAAGAAGCTTTCTAGTCGAACCTCATTATAACGAACATATTATATTGTAAAATTCACTGTAACAAGAACTTTTTTAATTAATAATTATATTTATTTAAATGGGTAGAAACTTATATACAAGTATTGCATTTTCTTGATTGATGAAAATTCACCCCGAGACAGCTAAGCAAGCAATTAAATTTCTTAGCCAGATGACATCACTATTAAATCATGCAATTATTGTTAATACATTACACTCTCTATAACGGTCTTTTCTATAACGGCCTGCATTCTATAACGAACTGGGAATTGGGTCCCAACTTTTTACTGTATAAAATCCCACTATATAACGTCTTAATTAAATTTCCTATAATGTATAACGGCCGATCTGAAATTATAATTGCTAAATTAGGAAATTTTCTGCAAATCAAAATTATTAATAATACGAATAAATTACAGAATTATGATCGCATTATTAAGATTATGCATATATTTCTCTTATTTGTTACAATATGTTTATTATTATTATAATGACAAATACAGATGTCAAAATGATTTAATACATATTAATATATTAATATCATTATCACTTCATTATCCGGAATACAAAATAAATCTACAAGGCATAATTTCAATAATTAATACAACTGAGGAAGACCGAAATCAAGAAGAAATAATTGAAAGAATTTTCACCTGTTACAAATAAAGAAGCTTTATCAGCAATGAAAACAGATGTTTACATTGAGCAACAATCTGAAAAGTTGCATCTAAGCCCAACAATCAACATTAGATAGCTTTCTTAATATTGAATAAATGATGTATTAATATTTTATTATTTTTTTTAATAAACGAATGCACAAAAATACAAATAAAAATCTTGTATCACATTATGAATTAATCGCATGATTATGATCTGAAAATTCCTTATAACGGTCTCTCTCTCTCTATATAACGGCCTTTTTTGCCAAAGTGTACTGTATCAACGAACATGATTGATCTAACTAAATTTAGAAAAAGGCAAATTAGCCAATAAAACGAAGACCCTGTGATTAACGCCACGTGATTACTACTACAGTGCCGATCGTCTATACTCAAATCATGAAATTTAAATATCATGTGATCTATACACCAGATAAAGAGAATATCACCATTCACTCAGCTTTAAAAAAAGAATTAATTCAAGACAAAAAAATCAGTCCCATTTTATGTTGCTGATCTTTCCTAATTTGGATAATTCATAAATTCATATATGTTTCATTTATTCTTTTGACAAAAGCAATTAAAAATGCAAAAAAATAAGTTTAAGTTACACAAAAACACAGATAAAACTCAAATTTTAATTTCATCGTACACAGAATCAGGTACTCTCCTATGTGAACTATACTTTTCACTGCAAACTCTGCCAACTTTCCCTTGTTTTATAGCTACTTCAGCATCAATGTGAATAATATCAACATCAGAATCTGAAGAATAAATTTCATCTGATAAAATAAAATCTGAGTTAGAAGAATCTGATGCTTTATTTTTTTTTTTCAAATTGGTCTGTAGACAAATTTTTAGATCGATTTTTGAATTTTTTCTTTGAGCAATTTGACTTTTTGTTAATGGCATATTTAATTATTACAATATCAGAATTTTTTGAAATAAAAAATGGATGAAAATGAATTGAAAAACGCGACGTTACACTGATTTACTTGGTCCCATTTTTGGATCTTTATATATAATTTGGTGCTACTTTGAACTTGCATAACTTGGTCGGTATTGAAGTTAAAAGAAATCTAGCCACTAATTTTGAAAGTTCTAATGTTGCTTAATAAAATCAGTGGTTAGAATTTTTTTAAAAATTATTTTTACCAGGTTTAGTAATGTCAATTTTTATTTTGAGTATAGTAATAGACGATCAGCACTGTATAACGAAATTTAATGGTTGATCTAACTAAATTTAGAAATAAAGCAAATTAGCCAATAAACACGATCAACGTCCACTTAAACGAAATTTACTTCTATTATTAATATAAAAATTTTTTCAATGTTCACTCTATAATAAAGAGATTTTATTATGACTATGATATTCACTGTAACGAGCTTTGACTGTAAAACGACTGGTAATAGTAATAGTAATAATATAAACAATAAATTCGTTATAACGGATTTAAACGTTATACGAGTTCGAATCTCTAATTTCAAATCACTCTTATCATTTAATATGTTGTTGATCTGCAATTGATTTATTTTATGTGCTGCGTTCATATTCGCCCAAGAGAACTCTTTCTCTGAATTGCAAACAAAACGGATCCCTTCGGCCTTTTTTGTTTTATTTTGGTGAAATTCATTGGTAGATCGTGTAACAAACAAAAAATTATAAATTCGTGGATTTTTTCTAGATTTCTCAAAAAACAACAACATGTCATCATCCTCTACACCCAAAAACGAAAAGCCAATTATTAAACTTAAAAGCGTTAACATACCAAAGTAATTTCAAATTTTATTATTTGGACTTTTTATTGGTCAAAAAAAAACTCACAATTACAATTATTATTATTATTTAGAAATGTTGTTTTTAAATTCTACCTACACACCATTCTATTGTTAATATTTCCAATTTCCACTTATTATTTAACTTTGAATTTTTTATTTGGTAATTAAAAAAAATCAAATAAATTTGTTTTTTTTTAAATTGAAAAAATATTCACTGACAACGTGATATTTTCTTTCAAACATCAATTAATCTTTTTTTTGTTTTTAATTGATAAATAAAGGAAATGATACAACTAAAGCAGCACTTTCGGCTGCAGGTATTGCAAATCTTATAGTATTCTCATATATCTTAGTTGCAATATTTGAAAAAGATCCTGGTGCAGAACAGCAACAACAAAAACAAAAAGATGAATGATTGATAAAAAAACTTTTTTTTTTTTAAATAAATATCAAACAATTTTGTAAAAAAAATCAACATTAATAATAAATATATATATATATATTTAAATACTTGACAAATTTAAATATTTTGATCTATTTATTCTTATATATAAAGAAAGTTCTCTAATATTTTTACAAACAAAAAATAAATAAATGTATTTCTTACTATGTAACATTATTTATATCTTCTTTTTGTTGCTTTAAATGATCATGTAGATTGTTGATTATTCCTGTTAGCAATTTTATAGCACCTTTAGAAATTTTTGAAACTGGTAAATCTTCTTCATTGCCATTAGTCGTTATTGCGGCTGTTGTAGATGTTGTCGCTTGTGTTGTTGTTGTTGTTGTTGTTGTTGTTGTTGTTGTTGACGATTGAATTTCCTTTTCACTTTTATTGATTATTTTGTAGGCTTTTCCTATGACCTTTTTAAGAATACCACGTCTAATATAAAACTCTTCAAGATCTTCTTCTAAACCTTTTGGCGTATTTTTTAAAACTACACAACGCCAACATCCAAAAAGTTATAACATATAATATATAAATTAATAAATTAATTATATATATCTCTCTTTTCTTTTATCAATACAAAAAGCTTACCAAATGATATAGCCCTTAAACTTAACAGATACGCTCTCTCGTTATATAAAGCTGAAGATGCAATTGCTTCTTCTGATCCAACAAACTTATCAAATCCTGCCTCGTTATACCATGGCGATTGATTAAGTACTAATGCTTGTAATGAAATTAAAAGTTGTAACATTGACGATAACGGCGTCCACATTTCTGTTTCATCTTTTCCTGTCCATGTATTTAATAAACTTAAACAAACTATACGCAATATGTGTATGGTTGTGCGCGAGTTTGTGAGTTATATATGTGTATGTGTGTTTTAATCTATAAATTTCATGAATATATTGTTTATTGTTAATACCTTTGCCTTCTTCGTATAAATTTGGATTTATTCTTCCTATGCCACCAGTCCACGAATGAAAATGTGCAACAGGTGGTTCGTTAGGAAAATTATTTGGAAATGAAAAATCAAATAAAAATGGCGCATCTTCGTATCTATATACATAATGAATAAAATTTTAAACAATGAAATTTATCAAAATAATTGGGAAAATTATTATTTATAAGGATATCTCACGGTGTTTCTTGTGGTCCAAATATCAAAACTCGAAGAAGATCCAAACGATCAGAAAATGCTTTTACTAAAATGCCATCTACAGTAGCAGCAATAATAACACATATAATATTAATCGTTTTATGCGTACGTAAACTCCAAAATAATATATCTTTTATATGTATCTAACTTGCCTGGTAACGATTTACTTAGTATACGATGCTCTTTTAACACTCTTTGAATATAAAAACTTGATTGACTCTATATAATATTTTTTTCAGAAAAGAAAGATTATATCAATACTCGAATACATATATACACACATCCTCCTAAAATCTATACAATAAACGTACTTCAACCATCTTTCCAATGAAAATATGATCACTTGGTGCCTCATCTAACATAACAAAATTAGATCCTTTTCCATACATGTCACTGGAACATTCTGATTTCTCTTCCGTCATTGTTTTATCAATAATAGTACTATGTGTTGAAATTTCTTCATTTTTAGGGTTTACTACTAAAGTTTCTTTGGATTTAGTATCATCATCCATAGCTATTTCGTTAGTTCCAATCTTTGATATTGTAGTACCTTCTTCGTCCTTAATTGTTTTCAGTTTATCCTCCTGCCTCCTCCCATTCATTTTCTCTTCTAACTTCTTCTCTTCCATATCATCGTCTTCCATTTCATCATCAATAATTTCCTCCTCTTCCTCTATAGATTTATAATTCATCAATGGTGCAAATCGATTGCTATAATAATTGGAGTTAGCTTTAATTTCTTTTTCATCCTCGTCCTCATCCTCATCTTCAGTTGCAGTTCTCCATTCATCACTATCATTAGCTGTAGTAATATTTTTATTTTTACTGCTAACAGTATTAGTATATTCATTATTTAGACTTTCATTTGAATCATAATCGTCAAATGAAGATTCATAGTCGTCATCATCATTGTCTTCATCAATTTTATGTTCATCATAATCACTATCATCGTCATCGTCGTCATCATCATCATCTTCAAGTATAATGATTTCATCTAATGGCATCAATTTTTTAGCTCCACTTAGCAACATCACCATCACACCACCTTCTCGACGTCTTTCTATCACTTCTCCGACCCAATCTTGTGAAACTTCCAACGTCAAATTAAATACAAATTAAAAAAAAAAAGCAATATAAATGGGGGGTTCTTTTTTAAAAAAAAAGAAACCTAATTTATCTATTTTTATACCTTCATTATTAACATTTTCTGAAGTTCGGTGGAACAATACATCAGCCAATTCTTCAATCGTTTGATAAAACATTGAAGAAGGTGGTGCTTTTTTTAAATCAGAAATATTTGTTTTTGAATTTTTTGGCCTGATAAGAACCTTATCACCCAATTCATATTGTAACTCTGGGTGTGCAACTAATTCATATAAACTTAATTCATCTTCTGTTTCCTATTTATATATATATATTTAAAAAAAAAGAATCACTGAAAAAAATTTTACAAATTATATATTACACCCTATACCTCAAGTTCCATGTCAATATTATCACGAAACCATCTAATCTTTGCGGTTCTATCAATAGCATTAACAGATTGTACAATACCCAATCGTTCCTCACCTCCAGACTCTGTATTTTTCTTTAACACGTAATCTGACTTAATAAATTAATTAGATGTTATTTTTAAAAAAAAAATAGTATTAATATTAATTGACAAAGAATTCCATAAGAATATTTAAAATATATTTTAAAGATGATTACCGGATACATATCATGATCATCCACATTTAAATAAGGTATTAGTTCAATTGAAGAGATATCGCAAGAATGGCTCATATCTTGCCATTCAACGTCAACAGAAGTCGTAAGTTTCATGATTGTCTAATTCATTATCAAATATTATTGTTATAAATTAAATATATATTATATTGAGATGATCTTTTTTTTTTGGCACAAAAATTCACAAGTTGCAAAAAAATCATTTTATGCCAATAATATACTATATACTTATGACTATGACTATTATTATTATTATTCTTACAAAAACATCAAGATTAAACCCTGGATAATCGAATTTACCGGTAGTCTTGGTAGTTTTTGTGTTGACGGAATTAGTGTTAACAGTGTTTGTATTGATAAGTATGGAATTGGCAGCTTCGTCAACGGAATTAGTTGTGGAATTGATGGTGTAATTTGTGTCGGCAGCGCTTTCGCCTGGCACATTGTAATTTAAATTGTAAAATTTTGCATCTTCCGGGGTATTAAAAATCACTTTATCACCTAATTCAAATGTAGAATTTTCATAATAACGTTTGAATGGTATTAAATTCTTTAAATCTGTCAATTCTGTTGGTGGTAGACTAGCATGAAGAGTTTTTTCATTTCCGACCTGTGCAATAATGTGAAAAAATTTTAGATATATTTTTTGATATATGTTTGTGTGTATATATATATATATACATATATATACACATATTAATTGATTTCTTATACCATTGGGTTTTGCGAAATCCACCGTATTTTAACTTTGAATGGACTTGAATCTATTACAATTGCTTTTTGATGTTTTGAACTAAAGTTTCCTTTAAGGTATCGACCATTTTGAAAATCTCTTGGAGGTGCCCATACAACCTAATTTTACACATTAGTAAATTTAAAAATTACTCTTTTTTTTTTTTTTTTTTTTTGATAAAATAAAAATTAAAGCCTATTTAAATTCTTTTTTCTTCTAACCTCACCAACAGCAAATCTATCTATATGACTACTATTATTATTATTATTAATGGCCGATCGATCAATTCCCAATGCATTAACATCTTTTACCATACATATACTGCCATCATGAAATTGTACAGTAATTTGATCAAAAACCTTTTCATAATTAACATAAGATATTAATTAATAATTAGCAGTTATAATCAACACGTTATACTATAATTATAATATAATATGATATAATTTTTATTATTATGAGCTACCTCTTCAATTGTTCCAAGCCAATTATTATAAATTACGAATTCTCCTACAAAATCAAATATATATTTTTTTTAAATCCTTCAACATCAAAGTCTTTTTTTCTCCTCCTCAGCTACTCCCAAAAAACTCCACAATACCTTCTCTAAGTTTCCAACAATATGTTATATGTCTAGTGTCAACATTACGAATAATCTGATTTGAGATATTATGTCTAATGTCTACTTTAGCATTAACATTGGT